ACCGCTTCTAAAATCCCAGCTGTGCCATTCACTAGCTGTGGGGCCTTGAGCACGGTCAAGCAGCTCTCCACGCCTCAGTTGTACTCATCTCTACAATGGGTAACGCCTGCACAGTGAGGCTGGAAGGAGATAACATACTTGAAAGCCCAGGGCCTTCCCATGGTCACTGAGGAAACTCGGCCCTCCTCAATTCCGACATCACTGTCCAAACTTTATAAAGACGAGGAAACGAAGGCATGGGGAGTCCAGGTCATGTGTTGGAGTTCCACGGCTGACACCTGGTAGAGCTGGCTGTAGCAGGTGCTCACTCTCTTAAAACTACATCACACTGTATCCCAGAACTGAGCACTGGGCCTTCGTGACCTTGAATTAGGCAGAGAACTTAGATCAACCAAGACAGGAAAAGTCCCCGAGGAAACGCTATTCTGGCAGAGGGAAGTGCTTTTTCCTCTCCATCTCCCTGTAAGGGACTCGTCCCCACACACTGGGACTTGATCAGGTTGCCAAGATGTGGGGAACTTCCCTGATGATCCCTAAGCCAAAGCCAGGAGCTCCTGGGGGTGTCTGCAAAGACCCGCTTACTCAGGCTGCAAGCAGACTTTGGGGCACCTGCTTCTGCTAGTCCTGCCCAAGCTATCTGGGAAAACGGTAATTGTGCTATGTGTCTTTCAATATATCCAGTTACTTTATTTTTGGAGGAAAGCAAGGAGGAACAGGGAACACAACACTCCCCTTCATTTAATTACAGGAACAGTCAGGACCAATTTGGCAGCTATTAAAATACTACTTTGCCTTTATGCCGTCTCTTCGCAGCGGGAGCTGGAAGTCCAAATTGGCTGCTAAGGGCTGGCGATGGGGACAGAAGGTCAACACCGCTATTAGGAACCACGTGGAGTTAAAAACAGAGGCACCATGTGGCCTGTTCTGTTTGTCTCACTGTTTGCTTTTTGTCCTTCCCCATCTCTTTGTCTTTTAAGCTCTCTGCTCTGTCACAATGTCTTTTACAAGAACTGGTCCAGAAGCATCGGAATGGGAAGGGACTTTGGGGACCATCTTGTTCATCCCCTTTGTTTTCCAAAGAGAGGCCGAGTGGCTGCCTCAAAGCCAGCCCATGTTGGAGGCAAGCAGGACCAGAGCACAGAGAGGCGTCCCCATGCAGGGATGCCCAGCTCTGGGACACAGTCCCCTGTGTCTGAGCCCTGGCCTCGCTGTGTGAGCTTAAGCAACTCCCTTCATCTCTCTGAGTCTCAGTTTCCTTTTATCTGTGAAATGACGCTAATAAGCTGGGAAGGGTCACCAGTTGGAGCCACAACATTAAAACCAACACAAAGGACAATAGAACTAATGAAAGTTAAGTTAATGGGAAAAGGTGTGTGTGTGTGGGGGGGGGTCACAAGGTACAGACACCCAGTTATAAAACAAGTAAGACCTGGGCTGTCATGTACAGCGTGGTGACTACAGTCAATAATACTGCAGTGTGTATTTGAAAGTCGCTAAGAGAGTAGATCTTAAAAGTTCTCATGGCAAGAAAAACATCTGTAACTACATGTAGTGATGAATGTTAACAAGACACTTTGCAATATATACACATATCACATCATTATGCTGTACACCTGGAACTAAGATGATGCTATATCCTAACTTAAAATATAGGCTCCTGCCAGTGAACTACTTGGTGATTTGATGGGATGCGTTTATTTTACTTTAACCCTCTCCAGAAATAATAAAAAAGAATTAAACAAGCAAAAAACTAAAAGCACTAAGAGCCAGGGCTTGGCGATAGCAGTTGGACCGCTTGAGTAGCCATCTCTGAAGTCAGACACTGATGCTTTAGTTGCATTGTACAAGGACTTCCTTTCCTCCTTAAGCCACTTGGAGCTGGGTGTCTGTCATTTCCCACCCACAGCGTCCTTCCTGACACAGGACCAGCACAGGGACCGGAGCTGAGCTCTGCACACGTGGGACAGAGGATGCGGGAGACGGGCATTGGCTGAGCTTGTTCGTGTTGTAGGTGAGACCGCAGCTAACGAAGGAGAGAGTGGCAGACGATGACATGTTGGTTCATGTTACTATTAAATTAACAGGAAATTACTGACTTGATTCATCAAGTGAGAGAATCCAAGCTGAGGCCGCATGGGGGATGTTGGAACGTGTGAGCTATTCTGTCCTTGGATTTTAGGGTTTCAGAAGGAGGTGCAAGCAACATCTCTTTAGCCCCAGACTTTGTCCTGTCCCATGCTATTTGGGTACCACCTGTCAACTGGTGATGCACATCAGTTAGACGGGATATACTCACACACCCAGAGGCATGACTCTGGCCCATACACCATCTGTTTCTTCCTCCCAACAGCAACATTTTAGTCCAAAACTTATCATGGCACTGCCATCATTATCATCACCACCACCATCATCATAGGGCATTTACACTATGTCAAATGTTTTTATGCAGCATCTCATTTAATCTTCCCAACAATCCCATGAGTGTAGGTCTATTAAAACACATTGTATGCGGGAAACGTATTTATACGTTTTACATTGACTGGTAGTAAGTAGAGCGCAGGACACGTATTAATACGTTTTTTATAGACTAGCGGTAGAATGTGGGTAACGTATAAATACGTAAACTAAAGTTATCGTAATTTTACTGAACGTTGCCATTTGTGCAAAAAAATTAGCAAAAATGGCCCACACCACGCGCCACCTGTTAGCGCGCGATAAAAACTACCCGCAAACAATGTATTAATATTTCCATTGTACAGGTAAAGGAAAAGGCTCAGAGAAGTCAAGCCACCTGTCGAATGTAACACAGCTAGGACACGGTAGAGCAGACTCTAACCCTAGAGATGTAATCTCAAAGCCCATGATAACCTCTGTCTGATACCCAGTTCCCAGTATAGTGGCTGGAAACAGTAATCAGAGAATAAATACTGACTAGGCTGAAACAAGAATAGTAGGGTAGATGTAATTCAGACATGTCTATCAATTTACAATAAGCTCCATTCTCAATGTGTGACTTTATTTGCCCAAAACATGTATGACAAGGTTACCTAGAGGGGAAAAAGGGTCTTCAATCTCTACCGAAGGTGGGGACATGAAAATGTGGCCTAGTTTTGATAGCTAACCACCTCCAAGGAATCTTGTTCAGCTCTACCTCATTCCCAGGGGCTTTGGGGCTAGAGACCTGGGTTCAAATTCCAGCACTTTCCAGCTGTGTGACCAGGGGAAAATCCCTTTTTTTCCTGACAAATGGGGCTACTGATTCTTGTTTTTGCATTTAGTGATTGTAAGAATGCAATTGGATCCTGCATGAAAGGGGTCCAACAGAGCAATGGACACTTAGCAGGGACACAACACACAGAGGCTATAATTCTTCTTCCTCTGCCAGGCCTCCCCCACCTTAGTTACTGGACATGCTATACTCATCTGTGCTGCTTTACAGAGTAGCCTCAAATCTGGGGCTCTTTTTATAATCCTCACCTGAGGATATGTTTATTGATTTTTAGAGAGAGAAAGGCGAGAGAGAGAGAGAGAGAGAGAGAGAGAGAGAGAGAGAGAGAGAGATTAGTTGCCTCCCATAGACACTCCGACTGGGGACCAAACCTGAAAGCCTGGTATGTGCCCTAAATGGGAATCGAACCCGCTACCCTTTTGGTGTACAGGATGATGCTCCAACTGAGACCCCAGCCAGGGCAAGTAAAGAATGCAGGTTGTCAGTAGGACAGGAACAATCTATAAATAGACAGCTGGATGAAATCAAAGTTAAACTGCAGGAAATCGATACACCACAAGGACTCTGGGGTGACTACTCCAAAGCTCAGGAAACGGAGCCCGCTGCTTCTTTTGTCCCTCCCTGCTGTGGATAACTGGGTGAACTAAGTCACAGGGCCAGCCACAGCCACACCGGCACCGGCAGTGGCGAGAACACCGAGAGCAGAGATCGCAAACCGAAACGCCAACGGGGCCAGGTCGGGAAGGGGGACAGGTGAGAACATCCGAGACTTGGAAAACCTTCTTATCTTTTAAGATGAACTGGAAATCTGGATTTTCATGGGAAATACTGCTATTTTAAATGGGGCTATTAATTTTCAAATGGAACACCTGAAGTAAACACAACAAAACAAAACCAACATGAGGGCCAAACAAAACAGGCTAACGAGCTAACATCACCCTCTGAGCTGCCAGGTTGTGTCTGGAGGTCAACTCTAGAAAAAGGCTCTAAGATGCTAGAGTGCTCCTGGGCTGGATTTTAATGGTGTTTTACCTCTGGATGGTGTTGCTGATCATGCGATCCCTCCTACAGGGGGCGCTCAAGACTGTATCCCTTCAGGCTGATCTCTGGCCTTGGAGATTTGGACCCAGTTCAAAGCTGGATGGTAGTGATGCTATTTGGCACTGTTCATTTTAACGAGGGAGGCGCAATGGGTCCAATTGGGCTTTGGGTGCCTCAAATTCCTGCCAAAGTCTCAGGCAGCAAATGAGGCAATGGTGAGGGCACAGGGCTGGAGTCAGGATACTGGAGTTCAACTCCTTGCTGGCATGAGACGCTTTTCCACTAGAGACTAAATTCCCTAAGAGCGAGGATTTGGTCTTGTTCACTGCTAGAAGGCTGCCTGGCACACGCGTGGCATTAGGCAGATATTTGTTGAATGACTGGCTGACCAAATGGTTGGGGACATCACAAGCGACGGGCCTCTGTCTTCCCACCAATAAAGTGGGAATTAACAAGGCTGCCCTGTTTACCTCGAAGTTGCCACAATGGGACACTGGACGCACAAAAGTGCTTGACGAAAGGTGTAAAGGGCAATGACCCAAGGAGAACCACTGATTATGATCTCTGCCCTTCACTGACATCAGAGGGACCACTTCAGATCCCACCGTGGCCGCCTCCCTCCCACCCTCTACTTCCTTCTGGCTGCACCAAACCGCGTAGAAGGAAGCCCCAAAATGATCACTCAGATTTTCATTTCCATTTTTGTACAAAGACGGGGAAGACACGCTACCTTGCATTGTCCCGGCCGTGTGACTTCAAGAAATTCATATCTCGGTATCGGGAGAGAAATGCCACCAGTTGGTCATTTGTCCTGTAAACAAACAAAGAAGAAAGTCAGAATCCTCCAGAGACAACGGGGTCTGGAGTCTTGGCTCCATTCTTTGCATGGAAAACAGCATCCCTCCTCCTTTCACACCCACCGGCTGAAAAGGCTGTATTCCTTCACGAGTCGGCATCCCTGGCCTCACCACACCACACTAAAATGCACTGTTAGTGTGTCTCCTGGATTCTCCCTGTATTGCGAGCTCCTTGAGGATAAGCATGCTATCTTACTTTGGAATCTTCGGTGCCCAGCCCTGGGCTTGACAAATAGTAAGTCATCACTGCATAGCTCAATGCAAATACGTAGCAACTCCAGGGCCTTTGCACTTGCTGTGCATGGCAAATCCTGTCCTGTATCTTCCCTTTACTAGCCGCCTGTGGCTATCCAGGTCCCCTTTCCAATGTCATCTCATCTGAGAGGTGTTTCATAGTCACCCCACCGAACCTAACACCCACGCCCCCTCTCTGCCTTTATCACATCACTTTATTGACTTCACCCTCTTACCAATACCTGAAGATGTTGAACTTCCTGACATTAGGATTTTAAGTCCCAGCAAGACAGAACTAGTTGCACTTGCTCATCACTGGCATGTAGCAGGAGCTACAAGGATGTTTGTGGATGAATAAATGACTCAGAGTGAGATGAGTGTGAACTGACTCTTTCAAATGTATTTTGGGAAATGAATGAATGAGTGAATGAATGAGTGAATACCAAGTTCTCAATAACCACTGGGCCACTGATTGAGAGATCTTTAAAAAAGATAAAGCGCGATACAAACAAATGACAACGTTCCCAGCATTGTTATCCCAAATTTATCACCATCAATCTCAGCACTAGCAGTGTAGTCACAGCTAATCAGCGTGTGCACACAGCTGTGACAGCATTTTAAAAGGCAGTCACACCGGTCTCCATCTGCCAGAAATGTAGTCGCCTCTTCCGCTGAATAAACCCAAACAGGTAACCGGTGCTGAAGTGACAGCTCCTTTATCATCAGGATTCTCTGCTCAGGGGTTTTTGTTTAGAAGAAAAGGGTTAACCATTGTTTCAGATTGGGAGAAATGTGCAGGCACTGGAAAGGAAGGACATCTATGGGAACAGGCTGGAGGCTGGACCTTCGGGAGGCAGGCGGGTACCTGAGAAGGTGATGCCTGGGCTCAAGACACAGGAAACTCTGGAGACAGATCCCAGAGGCTGTCCTGACCAGGCTCTGTGTGTCTCCAGGTAAGCCATTTACCTCCCCTGGACTCACCTGGGTGGGTCTAAAGGGCACACAGTAGGTGTACATTAAGTACAAGCTGCGCTACTCTCTCTGCCTCCCATCGTCTGGTCCAAGCCGCCACAACCCCTCACCGCTCGCTCCTTCATTTCCCTGCATCTCCCTGCAGTCACGCCTCTCCAAGCCCCTGTTCTGTGATTGGATGACTCATGTTTGACCAACTCATAATTCCAGCGGAGGGGGCACCGAGCAGTTAAGAGTTGCTGCAGTGAAAATGAGCACTGCCGATATCCCGTCCCGTTACTGAAATCAACACCGATGCAAAGCCAGCCCTCCTAGCAGGCAGACGCCAGAGAAACCCCGTGCGCCTGCAATGAGCTAAATCCGGCACACACAGCCACTCAGCCCTGCCGGTGCTCAGAGGTGAACCCCGGGGATGCAGACAAAGGCTCACCCCACGTGTCTGCACAATGATGGTGCGTCTCCTGTGTGGACAAACCCGCCCGCTCACTGCAAGGTGAAGCCCACGCGTGCCCCACGCCAAGTTACGGCCGCGTGTGGGCAGAGGGCCTCCTGAAGTTGCTGGGAGAGCTCTTAACTGAAGCAGCCTATAAAAAATTAAAGCGAGCTCCCACCGAACCATCTACGCGTCCTAGCATTTCCTATTCACCAGCCCCCTCGCTACTCTCTGCGCCAGTTCATTATTGTCGTCCTGATGAATACAGGGACAAGTTAACCTCTGAATGGGTCCCTGGCAGCAGGAATAATAAACAGGGGCCTCTCAGTAGCCTCAGTGGGAGGGTTGAAGGGGCCGGGCTGGGGCTCCCGGCGGGGAGGGGGGCCCCCTCTCTCAAAGCCTCAGGCCTCTCAGGGTCAGCGGCTGCAGCTCCATTTGGCAACCCCAGAAAGCCCTTTCAGGGCCCTGAGCTGGGGCCATTTTCACATTTACCGCTTCACCAAGTCCCCATCTGACGGGGATGAATAGGCATTTAGCGAATTTACTTAGCGATGCTTCCACATGAAATCCTCTCAAAAGATGACATCTTGGGGGAGGGAGGGCTGACGGGGAGGGAGCCGTGGATTCCAGGCCCAGAGCTTGTGGGTAAAGGCGCTTTTTCAAAGCAGAGAGCGGCGTCCCCTGCCTGTCCCCTCTCCCTGGGGCCCGGTCCCCCTCGCTCTCCCTCTGCATAAAAAGCCTGCTGGGAATACTAACGCCTGTCTCCCAGCCCTTCTCCAAGGGGAGAGGGAATTCGGCTGGGGACCAAGTTTTCCTATTGTTGCTTTCAGACGCCTGTCGATAATTGCCTACATAATATTTAGTTCTCTCCAGATAATTAACAGCTTGCGATCTGTTGACATTTTACCCAGTTCTAGCCTCTCTCTCTTCCCCTCACACACACTTCTCACTCACTCTCTCTGGTGGAGCCCTTTGCCAAGTGGCTCCCACAGCTCAGCACGGTGTCTGTCTCCCCACCAATTTCTTTGCGCCTCTTGCAGAAATCATTAGAAGGCGTGTCTCTTCATCTATGCCAGTTCCTCTGACTCATGATGGTGACTCGGGTCCATCACGGTCCCCGCTGGAGACACTGGGACATCTTTGTTTTAATAAACATGGTTTTCAACAAGTACATCTTAAAATAAGTGTACTGGAACCATATGGAGATATTGGTTGAAATGAATAAAAAAAAATGAATAATGAAAGAAGCTCCATTGACCACGTATGGAATGTCCACATTAGTTTAGGCCCCACTGTATTGCATTTAGTTTTCACAAAGATGCCATAAAATGTGAGTTTCATTTCCATTTTACGGATGGGCAGCTGAGACTCAGAGAAGTCACCCCTTTAGTGAAGTGAAGAGTCAGGATTGGAACTGCCAGACCACTTCACCAACGACTGTGTGAATAAATGAACGAGTGAGTGAGTGAATTCCACCCCAGGTGCAGAAGAGATACGGGGCTCTGCGGCCTCCCCACTGCATCTGGTCTTCACAGCAGGAGCACCAGCCCTCTCTGATAGACGCGGTATCTCAGGCTCCCCCAACACCCACTGAGTTAAACTCTGCTTTTTAACAAGATTCCCAGGTGAGGCGTCTGCCCTTTAGAGCTTAAGAAGTGCTGCTCTAAGTCAAGCATGGATATCGGTAGTTAATTCTCTTTCCTTCTTCATCTTCTCCCCATGGGCTCTTCCTGAAAGCCCAGACCTCGAGCATGTTCCTTTCATCTCCATAAGCCTCACGTGTTGCAAGTATTAAGTAAAATAATGCGTGTCAGACCTGTGCAGAGGCACCTGCATATCCTAAGCCTTTGATAAATGTTGCCTGTTACTTAATACAGGGTGGAGCAAAAGTAGGTTTACCATTGTGAGTGCATGAAACACAGAGTTTATTCTTATATACTTATTTATTGATTATTGTATTCATTTCCATACAGACAACTGTAAGCCTCCTTTTGCCCCGCCCTGTACTATTATTGCCATTTTGAGCGCCTGAGACATTTGCACGGGAACAGCAGTGCAAGGACCCAGCCGACTTTGAACTTGGAGGCTTCCTGTGCATCACACCCACGCGATGTTTGCGGAGCACGGTCTCAACACCCCTAGAAGGGACTTACCCAGTCAGGGAACTGTCTCCCAGGGGCCCCTGTCTCCCAGGGGCCCCTGCACTACCACACGTGTCTAATATGCATAATGGCTCAAGGCTGAACACACAGGGAGGGGCATGGCTCCCTCTCTGGTCCTTCCCCACACACCCTCTCCCCCAGGAGCCCAGCCACAGCCACACCGTCTGCTGGCACGTGAGACGGGCGAGGAGAGCCTGCTTAGCCTCCACTAAAAAGAGGCCAAACGCAGAGCCCACTTCTCTTCTCTGGGTCCCGCCTGCCCTCCACCCTTGGACCCCAAATCTCCTCTAATACAGGGTGCTGAGAAGAATCAGGGGTGCTCACGACTAAGGGTGAGGCTGACGATGCTCAGGCAGAAGTGAAGCACAGAATTTTGTGAATGTCAGGATTCAGGATTTCAAACCCCTGATGCAGACTGGCAAGTCTGCACAGACCCGAGATTCAGCCGCCATGGGTGCGGGCGTGGGCCACCTGTGGAGCAGAAATGTGCAGGACGGTAGTGAAGGAAGGAAGGTGGACTGGGACAAGCAGAGGGTGGTGAGGGTCGAGTAGGCACCGTCAGTCTGAGCCCAGTTCCTACTCCTGGTGTATCATCTGTACAGTTACCTCATATGTATGTTCCATTTACATACCATTTTAGCTTCATCCTAAGCAGCAATATATGTGATCGCTTGTGTACCTTTTCCCCGCTCAAATTTTAAATTGAGGTAAACACATAAGCTTGAATTTGCCATCTCAACTGTCGTTAAGTGTAGAGTTCCATAGTGGTAAGTACATTCATACTGTTGTGCAACCATCACCACCATCCATCCCCAAACTTCTTTTTCATCTTGTAAAACTGAAACTCTGAACTCATTAAATAACGACTCCCTATTTCCTCCCTGCCCTGAGCCTCTGGCAACTTCTTTCTGTCTCTACGAAAAGTCAAGTTCATACAGCAGACAAATGCTAGATACCTCACCTAAGTGGAATCACACGGTATTTGTCTTTTTTTGGGACTGGCTTCTTTCACCCAAAATCCTGTCCTCAAGGCTCATCCACACGGTAGCATGTGTCAGAATTTCCTTCCTTTTTAAGGCCGAGTAATAGTCCATCAGGGCGTACAATTGTTATGTGTTTTCCTGTTACATGTGAAAAGCAACAACTACTACTT